GACCCCCCTTGAAAATTTGTGTGGTGTGAGCCCAGCTTCCAAATTTCCGGTAGTTTGCCTCATCTTAGCGAGTGTGAGAACATCACGCTAAGCGGTGTTGCCAGGATTAAAGCTGCTCCCCTCAGTATAGCAGAATGAACCAAATCCGGACTGAGGGAAGTGCCTTTTCTTAGGTTCTGCGGTTTCCGGAACACGGAGTCAGCGCTCAGGTTCAGTTCGGTATTGGTCGGGCCGTTAGGACCTAACAGTTGGAAAACTCCATTTTTGGCTTGACAAAGAGAGGCTGCATAACAGAATAAGCTTTTCGGATTGGAGACAAATTTATCGGTAAGCTCTATCTGGTACTGAAGCCTGTCTTCTCATATTGCCTTTGTGCAAATGTTCCTTTTATGTTTGTATTGCCTGAACACGCCGTTGTTATCAGTTGGTTTGTATTATGCACAACTAACTAGCTATATTCTATCCGAATATCAACATATCAGTAGGCTGCCCGAATGTAATGTTTGTGTTAGTTAACAATGGCCTCGTGCATTGTTCGGGGATCAATTTTAAATCCAAAATGTGATAACTTGAAATGTGTCCATACTTTTCTCCCACTTAAACACTGATCTGTGAGTAACTGATGGAGTACGCAATGAATTGGTCTTGGAAGCATATTCGTTTGATGTACATATGCCTATTGGATTTTTTCATAAAACGAGGTGTAATTGACACCGAAAATCACTGTTTGGTGCTGGAAATAGTAAGCATTAGTGGCTTTAGTGTTAAGATCAAGTTGTGCATGAGTTTTCGGATGTGTCCTTGGTTGTATGCGAAAACCCTTACATGTATAGTTTGTATATCAACAACCCTGTAAGACCAGCGAAATGTCACCGAGTCAAAGATCAACCAGCCATCACGCCGGACCATTTTTACGTCACACAACAGATCAGTGAACATTGCACAGTTTATCGAACATCATAGCGAGCACGAATGAATAACGCGAGGCAGTCCATTGTATGCCACTGACCGATTCATGTAGCAGTGACTTTACCATACACTTCTATAATCGTTCCGTATGACACATCTTATTAAGATTATGTTTGACATCAAAGTAGTCACAGTTACTGAACGTCACGACATTATGATCGAAGTTATATATTCCCCGAGTTGTGACTTTGCCGTGAGCTAGGTTGCACCATTCCCGATCAACTTTGGTAAGTCAAACATCCATATAGGTTGTAGTGGATCCCAGCAGAAGAGATTATTTAAACTATAACAATACGCAAGGTTATCAATAATGTACCAAAAGAGTTAACACCAAAATCCTGTGTCTGTCTATGAGTAAAGCAAAATGTTACAAATTGCAGTTACAATGCAAGTGGTATATTAAACAACAAGATAATAACAGTTGTTGTGAAATGAATGTTACTTGTAAGCTGCTCTGTGAGATAACAACCACAAATGAGTTCACTTGATTAACGAAGATTCCTCTGCACGTAGTGGCACCAACGGCGTAATAAGAAAGATTGAATCCAATAGTATTATTTAATAATAATCCGAGCCGAAAACCCAACGCAGTGTGGGAAGGTCTAATCTCTGCAACATACTATAGAGTAAATACTCATTTTACAACGGAAATGTTTTATCTATGGGTCACGAATAAACGGTATACCGTTTATTCGTGAAGGACATTACAGCCTCTGACTATTCAGTGAAAAAAAATGGATCACATCCTAGGTTGAATTGATTTTAGGTTTCTTGATTCGCAATGAATAGGCTAAGAAATATATTTCTTTGCGAGCACGATCATTATTGCCAACTGGGATCCATATGCACCCGGATAGGCCATACGACGCCAGGATCAAGCACAAAGGCAAGCTGGAACTGACCATTCCACTTGTGGACTGTCTTCAAGACAAAAAAAACGTGTAAAGGACAGGGCCTACCAATTTGACAAAACTTATATAGGTGGGTTACCTGTCCACTCACGCAAGGCTCTCACAGATAAACAGGAAGAAGCTCACGCGTTTCAAATTGAAAGCACTAACTGCTTATACATGAACGCCGCGAGTCTACCAAATAAAATGGATGAACTAAGTGAACTTAGCAACGCTAATAAAGTTCATCTGATAGGAATATCTGAAACTTGGATATCTCCTCAGTATTCGGACCAGGAGCTAGCAATACCTGGGATGTCTCTGTTTCGCAATGACAGAAAAACAGGAATTGGGGGTTGAGTAGCCCTATACATAAGATCTGGCCTGGTGGTACATCAAATCCACAACCACGAGTTTGACAATCTTGAGGAATCCCTATGGTGCTCTATGAAATTGTCCACTACTTCGAGGTGCTTAGTCGGAGTCATATATAGGAAGCCCACTGCCGACATCGAGTATGACAGTCGCATGCTGGAGGGACTATCCCGCTCTACGCGTCTCGGCTTCACTCATATCCTGATTCTAGGGGACTTCAATCTTCCTAGAGTCAACTTCGCGGAACATACGTATACTGGAGGTGAAAATTCAATCGAAGCTCGGTTCTTCAACCTCATTGAGGACTTGGGACTACACGAAAATGTGAAGTCGCACACTCGTTGGAGAAACGGTCAGACACCGTCGCGCTTAGACTGTGTTTTTACAAATGAAGAATTTCTAGTCGACAACCTCTCAATTCTGGCTCCCCTGGGGAAGAGCGATCACGCCGTTATAGCCTTCAGTTTCGTCAGCAAAACTGAGCTAAGATATCCCGACAACAACAGGCGCTGGAAATTCAAACGGTTGAATACGTCAGCTCTACAGGATTATCTACAACAGGTGGATTGGGATGTTCACCCTCAACTTGATGTGGATGCTCATTGGGACTCCTTACTGCGTACGCTCTCATGTGCTACTAAGCAGTCAGTTCCTCAAACGGTCCCCAAAAGGCACAAGCAACCTACAATCATCAAAAAACGCACTCTTCGTTTGCTAAGCCGTAAAAGGCACTGTTGGGCAGAATACAAACGAACCAACAACAACGGCGAGTACAGGCAATACAAACATATAAGGAACATATGTACGAAGGCTATAAGAGAAGACAGGCTTCAGTACCAGTTAAAGCTTATGGATAAATTTATTTCCAATCCGAAAAGCTTATTCCGTTATGCAGCCTCTCTTCGTCAAGCCAAAACTGGAGTTTCTCAACTGCTAGGTCCTAACGGCCCGACAGATAATGACGGTGACGCCGCTAACCTTCTGGCTGAGCACTACTCCCGGACATTTCAGCCGACCCACATCAACTATACTGATGTCGGCTCTGTCTGCAACTGCACAGGACTTTCCGTAGTGAAACTGAGTGCTGACTTGGTGTACCGTAAACTACAACACCTAAGAACAGACACTTCTCCTGGTCCAGATATGGTCCACTCTGCTATACTGAGGGAAGCAGCTTTAATCCTAGCAACACCGCTTAGCGTGATGTTCTCACACTCGCTAAGTCGGGGCAAACTACCGGATATTTGGAAGCTGGCTCATATCACACCAATCTTCAAAGGAGGTCGACGCAGCGAACCTTCAAGTTACCGACCGGTGGCCCTTCTCTCTATACCTTCAAAGATCATGGAGTCCCTGGTATACGATGATATACATGACTATCTGCTGTCCTTAAATTTCTTCTCACCCCAACAGCATGGTTTCAGGAAGGGTTATTCCTGTATGACGAACCTGCTGACCGCGGTGGACAGATGGACAAGCATCGTTGATCGCAAGGGGAAGGTAGACATCATTTACCTTGATTTCTCTAAAGCTTTCGATAGGGTTAACCACACATGTCTTATTAACAAGCTCAAACAATTGGGAATCAAACCACCTTTAATTGACTGGCTCAGTTCATACCTCACAAATCGACATTTTAAGGTCAGGGTAAACTTCAATTTCTCACGCGCTATGGAATGTTCTAGTGGGGTCCCCCAGGGCTCAGTACTAGGACCTCTCCTCTTCCTGATTTATATAAATGATCTTCCTCAACAGGTAACGTCAGACATACTGCTCTTTGCCGATGACGTGAAACTTTGGAGAGAGATACGCAACCAAGAGGACATACAGGCACTTCAGGAGGATCTGACTCGACTTCAAAGTTGGGCAGACAACAACGGACTTACCTTTAACACTTCAAAGTGTAAAGTAGTCCATCTGCGACACGTCGCAGATTACAGTTACAACTTAGGAAACTCCTCTCTAGTAGTATCCCGAGTCGAAAAAGATTTAGGAGTTCTAGTGCCCTACGACTTAAAGTCTTACGCCAACTGTGACAAAAATGCCTTTAGAGCAAACCTTGCACTGGTAACATTGAAGCGCATTTTTGGTCAGTTTGACGGGAGAACTTTCCACATAATCTTCAATAGTTTCATTCGTCTCAATTTAGAGTACGGGAACATAGTATTCCCTCCTACACTCCAAAAGGATAAGGACACTCTGGAGCGTATCCAACGGCGAGCCACGAAATCAGTTCGGGGACTCAAATTTAAACCTTACGATGAGCGCCTCCAATCACTCGACCTTTACCCATTAGAGTATAGGCGTCTTAGAGGTGACATTCTAATGGCTTACAGTATCCTTAACACACCTGGACACCCTCTTAAACACCTACTTAAGCTTAGTCCCAACACTAACCTAAGGGGTAAAACCCAGAAATTAGAGATACAACATAGTAGAACGGACTGCAGACACAATTTCTACTCCTTAAGAGTTGTCAAATGCTGGAACTCGCTGCCAGCTGAGCTAGTCCAAGCAACTTCCCAGGAGTCGTTTAAGAGGCGACTTGATCTAGTCTTAAGGACTAAGGATAGTATCCTACTATGATTTACCAATTCATTTTCTTTCTCTTTTATCGTTAATATACCTAGGTTCTTGCCTGGAGGTATTGGTGATCCACTGCTACTAGACACGGAAGCCTGTTAAGCGAAAGCTTCTTCTATTCCGTCCGCAACCATTTGAACCATTTGAACCATTTCTGCTGAATAAAGATTGAAGTTTGGATTGCTATGACCTTGACTGGTTGAGGGCTTTGGACTGTTGGTTCTACCTCGGTGTATTCACTCCCTCGACAAATTGACTTATCCGGTGTTTTCAAAGCAATGTCAGTCAAGGTACACGACGTAAAGTCTTTTTATTGCTGTTACAGAGCAAGGTCAAGAAAGAAGTAAACCAAGTTTCTAAAACAAAATCAAGCAAGCGACATGCTGATGTAAGGCAAAAGTATAATATTAGCTTATTGTTTTAGACCCAAACTGATGGTATTCCAAAGAAGGTGAGTGAATCTTAAGAATATTTCAGCAATTCAGACGGGCAAGCTTAGTGAAAAACAGGAAGTAACAAAGCCTATCGAAGTTGGTGTTTCCAAAGTAAGCTTACGATTGATTCTGTACAACCTTTTTCGTTAGTTAGTAGGATACACCTTTTTCATTTTAAGGCTACACCGTTGGCGAAATACCATGTAATTCGGTGAAAAGTAACTGAATCTGCTGTGTTGTCAGTATTTCTCTCGTCTACATAATTTTACGCGACTGCATAATAAACTGATGCAATTCATTGAATTTACTTGTAGTGTGTTCTTAATTTAAAAATAACTGATCAACTTGGAGGGATCTATCGTTTCCAGCTTACTTTTGATAGGCCATTCTGTGTTTAAGTAAATCCTACTTGGATCTATTCATTATTAGTGTTTCTTGATCTTTTGGGGTTCCAGTGAAGTTCAATTTTCTCCTTTAGTTTGAAAGTATCGCTAATGTGTGTGCCCATTTAACATTCAGCACTTTACAGGAAATTTTTGATTAATAACGTTATGAAATTTCGTGCAATCTTATGTGTTTGGTTATTTTGAACTATAACCAGTAATCCTTTAATTAGATAAGATCAAATATTTTTTAATATTTATACCCATTTTGTTTCATATATACCACTTTTTGGACCCGAACTGCACAACTATGAAGTTTTAGATGCCACTTTTGATTGTTGCCTTAGTCTTACATGGGTAAAACTTTATATCATGGGTGTAATTTTGATCGTATACGTGGTTAAGTATCGTATTTATTTATAGAAAACATACAGCTGTAGACTCTAGTATGATTATTTCCTGTTTCAGGTACACAAAACAAAGCAAGTAAAACATACACGTGGCAAAAAAATTGCGGTATTCAAATTTTACACAAGGTTTATCAATTTATTTTCAGGCTCCAAAAGGTAAAGTTTCGTCAACATTCCTGGAAAATGATAGACAAGTTTGTTGGTTTTTCTCTTTTTTGTGTGTTTAAATGGTATTCATCCTCGTTTCATTTTTAGCATTCTTGGCTAAGAAAGAGCGCCGCCTATTAAGGTTAAAGTCAAAGAAACACTCTGAAGTAGTAATTAAACTACTACCAATATGGGAACAATTTCGACGTGATGATGTATCCAAGGAGAAACGATTTGAATTCATCCAAGAAGTGTTGAAAATCTCAAAGGTTATATTTGTGTATATTAGTTAGTTGTTTTATGTATTTAATAGTTGTATTGTATTCATCGCGTAAATATCTTAGTATTTGTAAATGGAATGTACACAATAGTTTAAGTACGTAGTATTTAATGTGGATTTTTTGTATACTGTTTAGATACTTTTAACAGCTTTACTATGATAGGTCTATGTTACAAATTCGAAAAAGGTTTATACGGTCGTTTTAATTATGAAGCAACACTCCATGTCATTGGGATCAAACCGATGCATTCGGTCGGTCTATTAGTTTACTGGCTGTTGATCTGAACCATGTCATGACCAGACTACGTGGTATCCGCGGGATTGTCGGAATCGATGATTTGGGACGTTGGTTGGTATTGCTCAGTGGCGTAAATGGATTCTGCTTTTTTTAGATCCCGAGCCTTAAAATTGTTTTAAACTTTTTATTCTGCGGATTGATATCCTTTTAAATTGTTTTCACTGATACCAATTCTACTTTGGTATTTGTCTTGGTAATGTTATCTTCCTGTCTAGATGTGACTTAGGGAATTGTACCGGTGGACATAGCTGACTAATTCTTTGTTGCATATAACTATCTGTCTTCCCCTATCATTTTCAGCAGATTTTGTTGGAACCGGTGTCCCTTATTATTGTGGACCGCGATGTGGCTACTTGAAATTCTACCGATTGATCAATTCCAGATATCCCTGTACGACCGCAATGCTGCTCTAAAATCTCCAATATATCAGAACACGAACCGTTAGATGGAAATTGTTTATGAGCTCAGAAGAAGAATCGCAATACTTTACAGATAGTGCATATTTATACAGTTAGGACGACCGTGAATATTTACCAATAGGAAAACGACATGTGAAATATGTGAAAGTCTGGAAACATGTGAAAACATACCATTTCACGTTCAGAGATAGAATTAGACTTAACAGAATAATTTTTAGGATATTTTTATGAATATCCTAACACCTCCCTTTGGAAAAAGTTAATAGCGACGCAACCGAGGGTTTACTTGAAATTTCTTTGGTTGTCTTCGTTTGCGATCCGACCACCTTCGAGGTAACCACCCAGAACCTGAAGGATATTCTGCTTGAGTAGATGACTCAGTTGTCTTTGTTGGAGGTATTGGAGGAAGTTGAAAAGTATCTAATGGCAAATCGAGTGGAACGCGTTTCGTAATTTCACTTTTTCCTTAGCTTCCCTTGGCCTTAGTTGATTATGGTGTCTGGTCCAGATATCTTGGTTCACCCTGACATCATACATGACGTCCTCATGTTTCTTTGTGACTTCAACCTCTATCCATCTATAACATCTGTGTCTGTAGTCCCGCGCATACACTTCCACACCAACTTCGTAAGGAATCCGAGTATTCCGCATCTGAGGGCTTTGTTGGGCCAATCGCTTGGGTGCTTTAATTTTTCAGAGTTTAGTTTAGCGATTCTCTGCCTCCAAATTCAAAATGCTGCTTCAGGATTGGCTTGCGTCAGTGCCTGGGTTAGGATAAGGGTATTGGGTAAGGATTCTAAAACGATTGATGAGATAGTGAATCTTCATCGACCGCGGTGGTTGAGACATTTGTTACGTCTTTATAACCACCGCTTATCCTGGTGGGCCATTGTTCGGTGTAGGATGTTATGTTCTAATGAATATTAAATTGCGGGTAACTTCTGAGAACTATTGATGGACTAATATTATATATTCTTATTGTATAACTATCCAGTAACTACATTATGTCTATCTATATCCCTATTATTATAAGCTTTATTTTGACTTATAAACTATTATGGTACGATGTGCTATTCTTAAATTATACTCAGTTTATTAACTACAGTCTCTTACGATCACAGCCACTTTTCGGCCTGAACTTGTACAAATGTTATTTCCTATTTTACTATGTGATGCGGTCCGTTTGGCTTGCATATAAACCAAGTAGGTTTAAAATAAATGATTCGCATAGTGCAAACTGTTAGTAGCGTTCTGAACTCAACTGAACGTGCTAGGGGAACAAAGGACCAACAAGGACGCTATGCTGCTCACACCGGTCGAATGTCATTGGTTTGACACAGTGCTAAGATTGTATAAGTTGTATTCCGATTGGCGAACAAGTCACGTGATAATTAGCCGGGTTTAAAGTCGTAGCATAGGAGTAGGCTGGAAGAAACCTGGGGGCGGCCAAACCAAAACATGGCATCAGTTCACGAAGTCACTGACAATTAGACTTGGCCATGTCGAGAGATGTAGACTCCCTTGTCACAGTCCGCGCGGTTATCGTAACCTGTGGTCAAAGGCTTGTAATGACATGACTCAAAATCGTTTACAATGGCATGTATTGTTTGTCTTCCTCCAAATTCTAAACTTCTGGATTCCTCTAATTCTTTTGTTTCACTAATTCATGTTTTTTTGAATTGCATCTTCAATGCCTAGCCTTTTCTGTAACCACTGATACTGTTATTACATCTATTGTGGAATTTCGCCTAACAATTTCATCTCTCTATGCTGACGGAGTATGGCAACTTGAACCGATGTACATACATGCCAGGTTTTACGTTGCGTCTGACTGACCTAGTAGAATTGTGCTAGTTTTTTGGTCCCTGTGATTTAGTTAAATTATGAGGGTGGTATTTAAAATGCTCTTTCCCTATTTGCAGTAAACTACGACGTCAGTGTGACCATCATTCTGGAATAATTTTTAACTCGAGTGTTTTACAATTTCGGGAAGTCTAGTGCCATTAATATAACAGCAGTCAGTTTCACTGTTTCATCTATCTAACGTGAACTGATGTACATAAGTACCAGATTCTACTTTGCGATTGACTAACTACTTAACCATAGGATTTTCTTCAGGGTATGCATATCTCAACCTTATTCCTATTAAGTGAATTACTATGTTATGGTTTTGATTTTCATGTTTTTTTTAAAGAAAGTCATACCTGATTTGTGCATGGCTCATGATACTTCAAGAATCTTGGAAGATTGTGTTAAATATGGTACAGAATCACAACGTTGGCAAATTTTCAGTGAAGTTCATACAAATCTGGTGATACTGGCCAAATCACGCTATGCAAAATTTGTTATATTAAAACTAATAAAGTACGGTGACAAACAGTACATACTGGAGATGTTTAAGGTAACTATCCATTAAGACTTCTCTACAAATATAGTCATGCAAACTAGGGCACAGTTAACTAATAGGCATTCATATTATGTTATTAATCCTGGATAATCTGAAGGATGAAGTATTTATCAACAAGAAATTTAAGCTAAAGAATCAGAATCCAATCGATTAATCTTCCCATAAACAAAGACCATACTTTTCGGGTCTCTATAATATATACCACTTTACACTTGGATAATTTTAAGTAGTTTTGTAGCTTCATTAATCTTTGTACGCATTCGTCCTTTGAGTATATATATATATATATAAACAGTGACTGGCACAATTGCGCATATGTTCGACCTACTATGCTTCGTATCAACACAACAAAACAAACCTGACAAGAAGAATGAAAGTACGAAGATAACAATAGTGCCCAACTGTATCAGAGAACTAAGATAAAGGGAAAAGGATAAAGAGCACATAAAATACAAAAAAATGTATGCCAAATAATATTAGTTTCAAAACTTTTGATAAAGAGAAAGGATTAATATGTTTACCTCACAATGATCGATCATTACCAGTAAAAATTATATGATTAGCGTTCGTCAAGTAGATGTTTCACAGATTTCAATCAATCCAGTAGATTAAAGCTAGAAACCTTACAAAATAGCGCGATATTTCCTATTCCACTTCTAACAATACCCTTGTTCCCTCTGTATAAAAAACGATATAACATATCTTTTTCAGTAAGTCTGTAGTGTTCGTTGCGAGAATGACCTCTTTATTGTTATTTATAGTCAAAGTAAGAAAGTTGTTAATTAAATATGAAGTGACTTAAAAAGCGCTACTTGTAAGCCCGTTTACTGCACGCAAAGCTCTATCCGTTATCTGTAGATTAATAATACTATCTGTCTATGCAGTTCAAAATAGGTTAGTGGATGTGACTAAACTGATCATAAGAAGTAAATAATTTGATCACTTCATTTGGAAGTGTTGTTATCCTGTGTCCGAGCTAATCACTTCACGGGTTCAAAAATCCTGCTTGGCTTTCGTCAACTTGTATTACATGTGACTTAGGTGATATGTTGTTTGTTAATCAAAAGGTAAATATGATGGAAAATAATTCGCTCTTTGTTACTCTGTGGCTGTGAAACAGCATATAAAAATAGAAGACATGAGTAAATTTCTGTTTTGGGATGATGGATGAATCTTCAATACTGAAGTGAATCCAATGGTGTATTGAGTAAAGTAAGTTGAAAAAGGTTAGAGATGGTCAAACCAAGACGTAATATTAGTCCATAAAGTCATTGATTGTTAGACTAAGTCGTATGCGACCAGCAGTTGTTGATGTCGGGCGATACGGCTCAGAATCGGTTGCTTGTAGATCCTGAGACTTATTTTTCCTCCATCCATGTCCTTTCGTTGTCTTTTTAAACCACATTCTCAACGTTTATTCTTTATCACTATTATTATTTGTTTTCTGTTCATTTTGATATTTCCATTTCATACTGATTTGTTTGATAACTTTGAATAATCTAAATTTATGCTAGTCTCTCTGTTGATTATACACGACTGACTCATGTGAATCTGAGCATATGAAATAATGACTTAAAGTCAAGTGGTTTACATCATATAATCTTAAGCATTTGGTTAGTGTTTCTCATGAGTTTATTATCATTATCATAAAAACCATAATTTTAATTAAGATCACTTTTATTTCCAACATTTCTGATCTTTAGGCCTTTAAAAATCGCATTCAACGTTTAACTCAACATAAATTTGCATCAGAAGTTATAGATACTTTATATAATGATTATGCCACTGCATCACAACGTAGTGAAATGATTCAAGAGTTTTATGGGAATAGACATGCTCTGAGACTTGGTGAACATAAATTATTCACACTTGAAGATACTTTAAAATTGCATCCAGATAAAAGTACTGTAATACTTGACAATCTTACTAAGATACTCATCAATTTGGTATCAAAGTAAGTTGATTTACATTGTACCTTTTTAGTATTAAGTGGTTTTCGATTGTCTAGGCTTCAGTATAAACTTTTTTATTTGAATATATAGCTTTGACAATAACTGCCATATTGTCATTGTCGTTTGAATTTTTACTCTATTTTATTATTATTTATTTGAACACAAATATTGGTAAAAAGGAGCGCCAAATACATATACGCCACACAAGTCACCTGATTTGTGCGTGGACTGTGATACTGATCGGGTGCCCAGACCGAAGCACTTGGTTTTCTTATGGAGCCACATCCGGAGCCTTCGACCTAAAGGTTTGATACGCAAGGCAGTGGAGCATCAGAAGGAGATGCAGTCCCATGGTAGCCAGTGGCCAATAATTGGTTCATACGCCATTTGTTCCTTCAGGATACTGGAGCCCATGTGCACGATTGGTTTGGAATCAGGGTTTTCCAAGTCCTCTAGGTGGATCGTCCCTATCCACCAACCCGGTTAAAGCACCGGACATTCGCTTCCTATCCTCTCAATTTCGTTAACAACACGCTGTCACAAGAAGACAGTGAATAGGACTTCTCTGTCAGTGGCTGTGTACACGTGGTCATGTGAGTGTATTTGGAGAGAGAGAGAGAGCTGTCTCTTCCCACCCTTGACCGTACCAGGGCATTTGGGGGCCAATTTTTTACTCTAAAGTGTTGTTGATTGCTTAGTAAAATAAAATTGAGTTGTTTCTTGCCAGCCAGTTAACTAAAAACAATGTCGGAAATAGGGAAAATGTGTATAAATTCAGTAGTGTTCAGCTGGTTGTAACATCGTAACTAAACAATGTTATAAAGACTTGATTTCATATTGATTCTCTACACGTGTTCTTCAACTTCAAAGGTTGTTTCACAATCATAAAGTAAAATAAGACGAACTACTACCCGAGTATACTCAATTTTAGACAAAGAGATGAACATCTCGTTGTATCCTATATTCCGTGGATGAAACTACTAGGTAAACTTAAACATACAATGCTCTCAACCATGCTAGCGATTAAATGTATGGTTTAAATGAAATAAAATTAATTTAATCACTTGCTCTCATTCGTTTTGTATGTCTTCTTACATAAAATAGTTTATCGTATGAATCAGATAGATTATATAAATTTCCAAATTTTGCTAACTTTTCATTTCCTAACCACGGGTTTTATCATTCTATATCATTTGTTATTTTTTCTTCTCACTACTTGTTTATATCATTTATATTTAAGGGGTCTTAACAAATACAGTATTGTCCAACACTTATTATTAGAGTATTTACGAAATGCTGTATCATTTTCCAAAGCATCGTCACTACCTGTTAATGTGAAAGCTAGTATAAATACATCTCAACCAACCGAAACAATTGTACCATATATAGTTGATGAACCAGTTGACTGTAAAGATGAGGATGCTATTCCTAAATCGTTCTATGATAATTTTACGACTTTGATTGAAAATTTAATCGATGGTCAAATAGTGCCAATGTTACATACTCGTGATGGTGTTCGTGCTGCTTTAAGAATACTTTGGGCATGTAGTCCTCAGAAACGTAAGATTTTAGTTAAAGGCTTGAAAACCTGTGTACAAAATATTGCGTTTAATGAACATGGACATCTTTTTATCATTGGGTTAATCGATTCAGTGGATGATATTGTATTATTGCAAAAAACAATATTTCGAGTGAGTTATATTAAGTATATTAATTTATTTTTGATTAAATTTTTTTTGTCACTTATATACAACAAGTATTAAAGCAATAGTTTAGTGGATAATTTATTCAATCTTCTACTTTTCAGTATGGGATTGTGGAGATTGTTGAATTTCATTGAAATCATAAACCGATTTAAATTAGACCATCATTAAAAACCTGGTAACACTGGATGATTGTTTCTTCCAAGTGTGGGACTCCTCGGAAGTACACATCCATGAACCTAGTACTTCCAGGTTTGCAGTGGTGGTCTAATTTAGATCTGTTTATGATTTCAATACAATTTTCTACCATTAGGTTACACGTTTGAACTCCTCCTTAGCTAATTCTGTCTGTTGGTTGTCTTATATTATCACTATCGTACACAAAACATGTTCCAAAGTTGAGTACTTGATTATCAGCTTATATATGACCGAATTAGAGAACTCACTAAAAAATTATATAGCGTATCCATTGTTTTCTTATTTCTCTTTTAATCTTGAGCATAATATTCGCTGTAATAGGATGAGTTCTTTGAAAATCCCTCCAAATCGTCCTATTTGATAGTATTGCTATTCTCCCTTGAATCCCCCCTGTTTTTTATGTGTTAATTTTGATCGATGACTTGTGTCGCCATATTTTTCAGTTTCATTTGACTCAACCTTTATTGTTTGGCTTTAATTAAGATATACTGTTATTATTTTATTTTATTACTGTGTAATGTCAGATCGTTGTTAATTAGGTCTCGTGTGACTGGACTCAGGGTTACGGTGTAGAGCTGTTGCTTATTGTTTTTCTTTGGGTGTCTTTTAGAAACGTTTGTAGTTTGACTTAATTCTTGGAGACAGAATTTTAATCTCATTTCCTTAGGAGTATTCCTGTTGATGCACAGTACGTTATTTTGTACCAAAGGAAATTTTGACTATATGTTTTGCAAGTGGCGTTGTTGAGTTCTGTAATGACCAGAACTCGAATATTTGGTCTGGACACACAAGATAATCCAAAATCTATTCGATTAAGCAAAACTACGCCTCTTTGCATAAAAACATGATCAGATGGGACAGTTCTCTATTCTGTCGTAGGCTCAGAAATACCATTAACTTTCATTATTCTTAGCCGCACTCCTCTCATCATAATCAATTATATCACCAAATAAATATCGAAACCAGTATCATTGCTGTGATGTAAGTATCTTTCATTGCTTTCAAGCATATGATAATCAATAGCACAGTCGACTTCTTACAAACAAATTCCTGATTAACTGTCGTTGTAGCAACTAATACTCTGTGGTGATAGAGTCCAAATTCTTTACTAGTCGCCACGCTTTTCTCTTGACTGAGCAGTCATGTTATGCGCATCAACACATCATTACCGAAGCCCTTTTCAATGGTCAATAACTGCAACCTAATGACATCATTTCTGAAAACGATACTGATATTACTTTTAGATCTTAGTTTATAATCAGTTTCCATCTTAACCTCCGATCGAGAAATTTTACCACCATTTACATCCAGGGTAGCACTTTTAGTTATGTTGGTTTCAACGTCAGTTGAGGCTAGTGGAATAAGAATAATTGAATATTCATCAAACCCTTCAGGTCTGATCACTATCCACATAATTCAATTCATCGGTTAATTCCTTCTATCCGTTGGCCGAAGTAGTTATGTTAATTGAATTATATTCAACTGTCTAGTTTGAAATTTCTCCGTAGTTCCAAATATTTCACTCATCGTCAAACTGGTCTGCAATCTGAGTTTTTATCATAAGATGCAGCTCAATTTTTCCGACTAATTCCTCTTGACATGTGATCTGTATCTTTTCTTCCATATACTTCGCCTACAACTCTATTCTTTCTGATGCGTAATTCATTAATGGGAGAATCAATTTTCTTGCTAAAGCAACTGAAGTATAGTCAGATTTACTACTGCATCTATTATAGTAATCAATACTGCACTTACAAACATTACTAGTTTTGGAGCCATGACGCGAAAATCTATCAAAAGAAATTTGGTGTGTATATGGACTCATTCATTCATCATCTTTCTTTACATCTTGAGTTTCGATAGAATTTCATACTTTTTATTATGTAGATTCATTCGTTTTAAATTGTATCCTCTTAATTATTTTTTACTATCTTTCTAATGCTCGGATACTGTTGAGGTTATGTTTAAAACATCTTCTAGGAAAGTCCTACTCAATAACTTCATGCGGCAAAGGTAGCTTCTGCAGAAACGAGAGGACAGAAAGCGTATATTCTGTGCTTAGACCGGGTTGATGAATATGGTGGGTCTGCCTAAAGGGGCTGGATGATCTTGGCTCTAAGCCAGTTGTGCACATGGACTACAGGATCCTGATTGAACTAGTACCATATGTACATATTTTGGTCACTCACTACTACACAACGTCAGATCCTCACATTCCCCTGGTTCGTAGATTAGGCTTCTCGATCAAAGGCTCCTACAGTACAGGTCCCTTCAAGTAATATTTGTCAACGATTTTGAATTTATTAATCCCATATATCCATTCAAGAGACATGTAGTCAACCTATATTCTTTTCGTGTACATCACTTCATGTTATTTTTTTGATTCACTTAGAAATAAGTTTTTGTTCACGGTTTTGCCCGAATTTCTTTTTCTATTTTTAATTATAGGAAATATTAGACGATTTAGAATTGTTTGTCATGCATCCTAATGCACGTAAAGTATTACTATATATGTTATCTCCCAGGGATCGTCGTCATTTCTGTCCTCAATTGATTAATAGTATCTTAGTTCCAGGTGATACAAATATTTATACAAAGAAATTACTTGGTGTACGTACAATGGAAATGCGCCAATCACAATCAATGATGTTACCAGCTTTACTTAATTTAGTTAATGATAAATTGGTTGAGTTATTTATTGGTGATTCATTAAGTGAAATGGGTCTATTAACTAGTAAAGATTTGGGTCGTCTTGTACTTTTGAGTGAAATTCTTGATAAAAGGTATTTTATATTTTCATTCATGTATGATTTTCCAACTCATCAGTTTTTATCACTTGTCTTCATATTTGTGTATATTTTTGATCGAAATGATAATGAAAAGAAACAGATTATTATCATTTATTGCTTTCTATGGAGAATTTGCAACGAGAAATTGTTTAAATTGATGTTCTCTTCTAATTTTAAAGTTGTTTATGGTAGTTTAACTTCCTGCGACTTGGTTCATAGTTCCAATATCTACTGTCACTGAAATTCTTTGACAACTGATGAGCCATGTTAATGATCTTTTGAGTAGATTTAACTTAGGTGCTATCCACATGTTTGTATACTTAATTTTGAACCGTAATTTATGAGTCAAGGTCTAGAGAAATTGCCGGATTGTTTCACAGAAGGTATCGTGCCCATGAAAGGGGTTTAACGTACAGGTGAATCTGAAGTCGAGTTTTATCAGCTTACTAAACAAAAAAGCTTTGACGTTCGCATTGTTCAGCTACGATTTAAAAATCAATCACTACACTGATTATTTCTATCAATCATATTTACGCTGGAGATCTATCGTTGATTATCCTACTTCGATGAGAAGCATATTATTTGGATCACTTTCAGTAGAAGATGAACAGTCAGATATATAGATACTTCAGTTGTAGCGCTTCTACTGGCAATAATAGAGTTAGCCTAAAATAATGAGCAGAGGGACTTGATAGGTTAACTCCAGAAGTCTTTGAAAATAGAATTCTAGTCCCGGAAGTTCAACTGACTGCTATAATAACTACAGTTCAGGAGCTAGATGATCTCACTCGATGATAGTCTCATTTTAAAAGAAAAGACTGAATCCTCTTGTAATATTCATGGTGGAATCAGTTTGGTTAATATAGTTTTTAAAATATTAGCTTCGGAAATCAATTAATGCTTACCTAGAATTCGGAAACAACAAGCTCATAAAAACTAGGCTGATGAATGCAACGATCGAGTATTTACCTTTCGTCATTTTTTTCTTTCATACCAGACATTCTTACTGATATTTGACTATAGGAGTATTTCCGACTAACTTTACGGCACAAACGTAATAATAAAAACAACCAAGTCTAGAAATAAGTAAATCACTTTTACAATGGTTTACTGTAAGTTAATTTTTCCTTTTTTTCAGCGCTCCACATAATTTAGATGTAGATATTGTACTGCCAGCGTATAAAAGAACAAATGATGATACACGTGTTCAATTTGGAAATTGTACCATCTCTACAACAGATTTATCAACTTATAAAGCATCAAGAAAATTAGCTTTAGAAAAGCTTGTTACACATATTTTAATACCGGAATTCAATCCAACTGGTAGTGATGATGATGATGAGGAGGAGGAGGAGGGAAAAACTCGTCCAAAACAACATCAACAACCACAGAAACGAAATCATAATGATTTACGTTTATCTCGGCATAAATTAGCAGTTTCATTAGTTGAAGCTTATTTAGCTAAACAAAAGAATCCAGTTAGTTAGTTTGTTTTGTTTTCTTTGGTTTATATGTGTGTTCTTGTTTTATTCTTGAGACTTGATTGTTTACGTGATAAGAGTAATTTCTAATTCATTTTTGTATTGGTTATTTGAATCTCTTTATTCTTGTTTAAGACTGTAATTGATCAGTTTCTTTTCGGCATATGTTCATCCTGTACGAATTGCCACGAAGTCACAATATTTTTAATCAGGAGTGAACAACTCTAGAATGCAGATACATCTAGTTGAAGAGTTCCAGATAAGACAAAACATGCGTGTTAATAGGCACCCTCGGAAGAATGATACTTTTTGATTGAGATCATGAACCGATTGATGTTAGACCACCGTTAGAAACCTGGAAGCCCTGAACGGCTGTTTCGTCCTATTGTGGAACCCCTCAGCTCTGTGCATCTACGATCCTGCTAGTGGGATTCAAACACAGGGCTTTCAGTCTCGCGCGAACTAATGATACTACTTGGGGAATCAAGCTGAATTAGGTGGGGTGGGAGGACTCGAACCTGAAACCTAGCGGTTGGGAAGTCAAATGTTGTAACCAATAAAGGATTACCTCAATGATTGCTTTATAATTACAATATATTTATTTGTTTCTTCTATCGACTGTTCGATTCCTAAACCAATTATTTCTAAAAATAATGTTTATTTGATCAATTTTTAGAAAGTCAAATCATTTTTCACTGGGAAAGAATCATTATCCGATAATGAGGAACAAGAGAATAATCAACATATGTCTGTCGATGAAACATTTACAATGAATCAATCTAGTTCGAAACCATTTATTGAACGACCTGAAGGTGCATATCTGATACGTCGTTTATTACAAATGGAGAAAACGACTAAAGATTGTATGTTTTATTGTTGTTTATTAACATTCTAGGTTACTAGTATCATGTAAATGAACATATTTATTTTGTTATGTTTGTTTAGTCATTCAAACTTTGATTTTAAGTGAGAGCTGTGAAGTTATCTAAAGTATGTTGTATAAAACTGTAATTTCGCTCTCTTTACATGTAAACACACAATAGACGTAATGTATGTTTTGAAGAAGTTGATTAACATAGCTCAATATTAGTTACAGTTGCATTTATTCTCCAGGTTTACCCTGTAGATGTTATCGAGTTTTGTTTTATTGCCTAATTTAAATTATTCTCATATTTGATTTTCCATCATATTTAATATTATTGCTCCTCTTAATTTCATCTATTGTTTTGTTGATGTGCAGTGTGATGGATTTTGCTGATACACATTTGTGGTACATTCTATTCTGAATGTAACTAACTTACTTAATTGTAGGTTATATTCATTAGAGATTAATCTCGGTGTAGCATCGAAAACTATAAAGTATTTGACAGTCGTTTCGTCCTTGTGTAGGATTCCTTGATAGTATGCACTAATAACCCTCTTTCATGGATTGGACTCAGGACCTTCAGGTACCTTCAGTTGTACCCCGACTGAGATCAGTCTGTGATGATTACAACTTGTAAATTAAACCAATCTCAACCGGATCTATTCACGCAAACTATCCTAGTCACCTCACTAGCTACTAACCTCAAGTTATTCCTGGAGATCTTGTGAGAAGTGGCGACTGGTGGAGTTTAGGTACACTAAGCTTGAAATAGTTGTAATCAGTATCACTGAATAACCGTTCCGCTGTATCTCAAATCGATTAACGTTGAAATTGCACTATTGGAGATTGACCCAGAATGTCTAACGGTTAATTTTATTATTTATTTATTTTAACACATAAGTATAGGTACAGGGAGGCACCAAATACATATGCGCCACACAAATCTCAATTGATTTGTGTGAGGGCTGTGATACTGCCCGGGTGCCCAAACCGAAACAGGTGGTTTTCTTAGGGGGCCACACCCCGAGCCTTCGACCTGAAGATCTGACCCACAAGGCAGTGGAGCATCGTAAGGAGATGCAGTCCCATGGTAGCCGGTGACCAACGATTGGTTCATACGCCATTTGTTCCCGCAGGATACTGGAGCCCATGTGCACCATTGGTTTGGGATCCGGTTAAAGCGCCAGACATTCGATTTTCGTCCTCTCATTTTTTTAAACAACACCCCCGCCACGAGAAGGCAGTGAGTAGGACTTCCCTGGCAGAGGCTATATACGCGTGGCCATGTGAGAGCATTTCGAGAGGGAGAGTGGACTTTCCCCACTCTCGGCCGTACCAGGGCATTTGGGGGCGTCTAACGGTTAAGGGTCGATCACAAGATCTAATTTCTTAGACGTGATACCTTCCGTGGTAATAATGATGTGGATTATTGTATTTCAAGTAAACTTTGGCAGGCATAATTGATTTATTCATCAGATAAAAATGGTCGAAGCAAAAATAAAGCGTGGGCTATAGGAAGAGAAGCCGCTTTTACTTTGCGAATCCCTGCCTTTACGTCTGCATGCGATCCTCCTTGCTCATCGATGATGCTTACCAGGCACGTGAAATATTCCACATTTTCCAGAGCTTCTTCATCAAGTGTGATTGGTTTGGTGTTCTCTGTTGCTTTTTGCGCTCTGTATGTTGAATCCTAGTGATGCATAGGTTGTTGCTACATTGGTTGTCTTGATCTTCATTTGTTTGTGTGTATGGGCTAGTGGGGCTAGATCATCCGTGAAGTCTAATTCCTCTAATTGATTTCGAGCTGTCTATTTTATTCCATGCTTACCCTCAGATGTGGGAGTCTTCACAATGCAGTGAACCAGTAGAAGAAAGAGGAAGGGTGCGAGTAGACAGTGTTGTCTGACTCCCGTCCTTACATGGAATTCATCTGTCAGCTATCCTCCACGCACGACTTTGCAGTTTAGTCAGTTGTAGAACCATTTATTGGCAGGCATAATTGGATATTTGTTTTGTTTAATCAACTGATTAAACAGAGATCTGTTATCAATTTGAAAATAAGGAAAAATGTCCCACTTGTTGTTTCATTACTTATAAAGTTTCGCATATTATATTTAAGGACAGATTTCCTCTGTTGTTCTCTATCTGTGTGTGTATTTTTTTTGAAAATATTTTTGTCGAAATAGTTACTTTTGCTCGACTCATTATGAAACTTGTCCCAGCTGAAAATTTTCAATCTTGGATCAAATGTAATCGTACTTGTTACATTCTAGTAAAGTAAGTTATCATTGCAAGGTATTTTTACGTTGAAGGTTAATTTTATGGCTTGGAATGTTTATTTTTTCTTCTATTGGTCTGTTGAGATTTGTTAGATGTAGTGTTGATGTAAACTAATTAAGTTGATGAGTTTTGAACCCCTTCACTGATTAAAATGGTTCCATATACCCTAGTCACTACTCTAGTCTGTCTTGTATATGAGTAAGGTAAAGAAATGCTAACGTTGATCAGACAATGTAAACTTACATGTTGGGCTACGTGCACCAGTCTTAATCTATGTTTGATTGGAGATGTTTTCTTACTTTCTGTCTTCTGAATCTTGATGAAGTTCTTATCCCTCCCTAACAGGTGCCAATGTTAAAGTATGACAATTTAGATTGATATATATATTTGTACTTAATCCCGTCTAGTTGATGATTGATTGACTGATCTGTTAAACATCTATGCTCTTTCTTGGCGAAAACAAACTTCGTAGTGATTATGATTGCTGACTAACTTGGCTGGTCTGTTACACTTTCTAAAGGTTTTTTGTGACGTATTTTTATGTGTAACTAGTGTTAAGGGGATTTCCTACTGTCGCTTATATTTGGCTAGATAGTTCTAAAAGTTGAATTAGTTACAGATTTTGTTGACAATCATTTAAACTTCCCTTGATTACTTAGTACTGTGGTGAACGGGAACTCAGGTATGGAAAACCAATTTATTGTTTAATACAAAATTACGAAGTGCTTTCATAAAATATGAAAACCATACATTAAATATATTATTTGCACATCTTCCTTCAGTTATCCTTTACATGCTTCATGATTCTTTCAATTCTGTCGTTATTACAATTGCTCTGTATTTACTTCCCTGTTCTCTTTAATTCAATCTTCTACTGACAAGCATTCTACTTCCGATTGGTGCTACATACTACTTATATCTGTCACCATAAGTAGCATACACCACAATACTCTCGGTTATTTTCAAGTTCCGTAATTATATAATATTCAAAACAACAGTTAATAGGTTATATTCTTGCTAACCTTCCAGATAATCAGTCATAAGCGACGTAGAATCTGACATATGAGTATCCTTTCATGTCATTGCACCATATGACCATAACGCGATCAAATTATCAAAGCAAATGTCAGTTTAGTAGAAGTTGATACATTATCAATGACAGTGGACAAGATTAGACATATACAATATGATTCAAGAAGAAAGAAGGACTTTGCAGAATAATAAATATCTTAAGACAAAGCGTGAACGGATATTAGACGATTGCAACCGATTCTAAGTCGTGTTATCCAATTTCTCCAACCGTTTATTACAATAATTTCCCGAATCCCAACTAGGTAGTCTACATCTGATAGTATGCCTTAGTCCAATTGTCAGTGACTATAGACTGGTACTACGTTTTGTTCTGGACACATCTGGCTTCTTTCCAACCCACTCGTCCGTCGAGATAGGCTGTGGGCGGACAAAAGTAACTTATATTCTGACGTACTAATATCCTCTGTTCGTTATAATCACGCCTATAAAATAGAACGGAGCAAACTGCTACACAGTAAACTCATCCTTTGGTTAGCAGACGGTTTTATAAAAGGTTATGGTTTCTGAATTGTAATAGAATGACAACTTAGGGATCATATTTATGTATCATCCATAATTCTGGTCAGTCAAATATTATGAACCGTATATATTATATCATATTTTCACGTCATTTAATTTTGTTTTGTATTCTCATTTAGTCTGTGGGAACTTGGTGATGCAAAGATTTGTAATACACTCAAAGAAGCTTTGAATCCTGTTGTAGAAACTCTGAAAATATCACCTTTATCTGGTGCTAAAATTTTGTACAATCATTTAAACCAACAATAATTTCTATTTTAAAAGTAATTTTGTATCTAAAATTCGTTGTGTGCTTACACGAATTTTGATCGATTTAGACCAGTAGAGTTTAATTATGTCGGATGTGAGGCAGTTATTCGTCAATGACATTGGAAGATGGTTTTGTAATGTAGCGAACTGATTGAAGTTAAACATGGAATTTATCGGATGGAGGATCAGTAGTCTAGAGGTTAAGTGCTCATTGTGAAACCTGAAGAATTCGTAGATGTGCACTATTAGAAAATCCCTTACAACTTGGAACAGCTGTTGTTCGCAGCAGTTTTATAACTGTCCGTGGTGTAAACGATCATGTTTATTTTTACTCCTATCACGGATCTATGAGTTATGGAATGACACTGGTAATTTGTATAAATAGATAATATTTCTATGTGTGAAAAGTAACCATCTGGGTCAATAATGTATGAATGTAATTTCTTTTCTCTGGTACTCAAACTTAAATAGATCGGTGATCGATGGAGTCAACTGTTGTCCAATTCGATTTTAAGTTTGAACTTCGTCTTATCGATTTCGGTTCAAGCAACGAGATACTAACATTAAACCTCATACGAAATACATGTTTCATAGCCAAGTATATAACAACCCTTGATAGGTGAATTGCATACAGATCGGAAATAAGGTTGATTGTATTGTCAGGAAATTCTTTAGGTGTCAATATATAAATTAATTCTTCACTATTTTTAGTATATTTGCATGGTTTCTGTTTTTTTTTCTGTGGCTGGTAACTGTTTGCTAACTGATTTGACTTAATGTTTCAGTCAAAGATGAGCACAAGTAGTATTTCATTCTATTTTCAATTTAATTATAAGTAGATAACCATGGCCTTGTGTTATATGTAAGATATCAATTGACTTTCTTTGATGACTTCTAGAACTCAGAGAGAGAAGTTTACTTTAGAATTAGATTCTGGCTTATTACTTTACTTGGAGTTATGATACTAATTAGACAGTTAAGATCGTTGTTTACTAAGGTGGTGTTGGTCGAGACATCTAAGTATTCGAGTACTATTCAACATCTTGTGATTTTAAGACAAACATAAATTTATCAACGAACCGATTAAATTATCGAGGAATTCCCCACATACAGTGCTCTGTTTCCCTGTAATGTGGTCGTTATGAGTTTGGTTTCCATTGAGCACTAAAAAAATCGATATACACTAAAGTGTCCGCCTCTATTGTTCTTAATGGGTTATAGTAACTTAATAAATGGCCAACTGATGTATTGATCGTAATTTTAACGACAGCTTTTCATTCATTGATTGAAAATTGTTTATCAGGACTATGTTCTCCTGAAAATCTCCTTGATGCTCTGAACGGCTTGTAAGTTCTATTCAGATAAATTAGCAAAAAATTTTATTCTTAGATGATGGTTTCTTGGTTTCATGATCTTCCAGAGTGATAGTTATTAACAGTCTAAAGGGGTCTCTTATACAGTTATGGCATTTCTATACAACTTTTCTCTTGTGAGAAGATACAAAATTTTGCTGCAAGTTAGTTTAATAGAATCAAGATGATGATGTATATTCACGTATATTTTGTACCTTTCTCGTACGATAACATACACTGTACAAATGTCTTGAGTTTACTTTTACTTACTGTTAATGTTGGATCCTTGAAGATATTTAAAAAAAAGCATATTTATCTGAGTTTTGCTGGTAAGTAGAATCACTTAGTGGCATATGTCAATATTGGTCATTTTCTGCTGTATCTTGCATCCAGCTCTTGAAATTCATAGTTGAATTAAACCTAGCCGCTTTGAGTTATGGATGAGCAATGGAAAGGATTCTGGTCAATTTCGTTAGTTTGCTACTTTTCTGTTCGTCTTCACCCCGAAAAATTAGAAATAATTTAGGTCGTATTAAACAATTGAAAATTTCAATAATAATGATGTCGCAATCGACACTTTCAGCTTTGCAATTCTCTAGCTACGTTTATGTGATAATTCTACCCCAACAATCGTGTCATGTTCAAAATCTGTAATAAGAAGACAACATATTTTGCAAACCAGTATTATTATGTAAATCAAAATAAGTATTACGGATGTTTAAACTCCGAATACTGAGGTATCCAAGTGCTAGGTACACATGGAGACTGTATCCGGTGAGAAAGAACACCATACGATTGTCATGCTTTGAGTACCGACAGAAATGAAATATTTACTATTTTGTGCAAAAGCATAAATATCTATGAAGCTTCAATAAGCAATGGACACTTATGAGAAAAGATAGAGACAATCATTCGTAGAAAGTATTGAATCAGTAAATTGAAAAATGAAGATAATTAGAATCCAGCCCTGATAGATAATTAGCATTGGCAAGAAATGCTTGGGATTAATTCAAACTATCTAATGATAATAAGTAGTAAAAACACAAAGACATAATTTAGTTTGGGAATTGGAAGATGTTATCCAGGAAGAGAATGAATTTGGACGATTGATCGTAATCTATCTTTAGCAAATGTGCTGAAACGTTCTAGCAATTCATTTTTTGGAAATGTTTTGTAGAGTCATGTATCTATTTTGATGTAGGATATATGCTTTTTTATTAAGAAGCCTGAAGTTGTAGCTCTGGAAAGTTATACCTTATTATCACTTACTTGGTTTTGTGATATTGTTTGTTAAACTAGAAATGTATCGGTATGAAGTTATTATTTCCAAGGAGACCTTTCCCCTTGTTGTGAGTTCAAGCTAGTGTGCAGTTCATTACTACAGTAATACTTATTACGATCAAGTCAATTGTTGGCTCAGTCAGTTGCGATGTGACTAAGCAGTTTAAGTCACTGAGATATCAGTGCTAGAAATAATGGATTTGAATTTAAATAGAGCTTGATGATTTCCGTCAAGTATTCAGCTAATTGAAGTCCTGCTGAATAGTAGATCGATTTATTTATCAGATGAAAATGATCGAAGTAAAAATAGAGCATGCGCTATAGGAAGAGATGCCGCTTTTACTCTGCAAATCCCTGCCTTTACGTCTGCATGCTATCCTCCTTGTTCATCTATGATACGTCTCAGGCACGTGAAATATTTCACATTTTCCAGAGCTTCTCCATGAAGTGTGGTTGGGTTGGCGTTCCCTGTATGTTGAATCCTAGTGATGCATAGGTTGTTGCTACATTGGTTGTCTTAATCTTCATTTGTTTGTGTGTATGGGCTAGTGGGGCTAGATCATCCGTGAAGTCTAATTCCTCTAATTGATTTCGAGCTGTCCATTTTATTCCATGCTTACCCTCAGATGTGGGAGTCTTCACAATGCAGTGAACCAGTAGAAGAAAGAGGAAGGGGGCGAGTAGATAGTGTTGTCTGACCCCAGTCCTTACTTGGAATTAATGTGTTAGCTATCCTCCACGCACGACTTTGCAGTTTAGTCCGTCGTAGGAATTCCGTATGACGTCGAAGATATTCTCAGGTACACCATAGCGTTGAACAACGTTCCATAAGCTTCTCATATTCACATTTTCAAACGACTCATAATCAAGGAAATTGATGTATAGTGAAGAGTTCTACTCAATTGACTGTTTAAGGATTATCTGTAATGTCACAATGCGCTATATGCATAGTCTTGCCAACGTGAAGATGGATAGTGGGTACCATTGAAATCCATGACACCGGTTTCATCCTATTTGACTCTCGTCAACTGGATGTACCTGCATAATCCATCTTTGCTTATAATGCTTGTAACTTATAACAATACACACAATATGCACATATTCCAATAAGAGACTGATCAACTGAAGTGCTGACATATCAATGAAAAGATTCAACTAAACAACATCATGTGAATTGTTCACATGATTGAATGTCCTGTTTGATATATAGTTAACCAGAGAACCCTGTACCTATTTGTATTCTATAATTTTAATGTTTGATCATATATCTGAAAAAGCTTGCACTAGATTGCAGACAAAATGTTAGATTCCCTTCGAATTCATTCACTAAGATTTTACAAATAGATTCTTCCTCCTTGATGTGTTTCATACTTCAGCTTCAAAGTGTATACCACTATCAAATGATCCATTAAGCTGTTTATCTATTTTCATAATGAACATTATTATAAACTTTGTGAATCAAGGTGGATATCTTGTATATAAATTTCTTAAAAAACAAATTACATATAAGATTATTCATCCTAGTTTATAGAACAGATTATATATTGTGGTGTATACTACTTATTTCGTCAAATATAAGTAATATGTAACACGCCCCCAAATACCCTGGTAAGGCTGAGAGTGGGAAGAGTCAGCTCCCCCCGTCCAAATGCTCTCACATAGTCACGCGTATATAGCCTCTGCCAGGGAAGTCTTACTCATTGCCATCTTGTGGCGGCGTGTTGTTTTCGAAATTGAGAGGATGGAAAGCGAATATCCGGTGCTTTAACCGGGTTGTTAGATAGGGACGATCCACCTAGGGTATTTGGAAAACCCTGATTCTAAACCAATCGTGCATATGGGCTCCAGGATCCTAAATTCACAAGTGGCGTATGAACCAATTATTGTCTACCGGCTACCATGTGACTGCATCTGCTTTCGATGCTCCATTGCCTTGTGGATCAGACCTTTATGTCGGAAACTTCGGATGTGACCAACTAAGAAAACCACCTGTTTCGATTTAAGCACCCGGTCAGTATCTCAGTTCTCTCACAAATCAAATGAGATTTGTGTGATGCATATGTATTTGGTGCCTTCTTGTACCAATATCTATGTGTTCAAATAAATAAAAATAAATAACATGTAACACTAAATGAATATGGAATGCCTAGTAACATAAGATTCAAGAGAATAGAATAAGAACAGGAAATAATTATAAGTAAAGATAGATAGAAGCTTGCACTGGGATCTCAGTGTTGTTGTCCACCCCGGGGCTCGAACCCATTACCGTCCGCTTACAATCTCTATCGCGTTATCCATTTAGCTGCTGAGTTCTGTTATACCTTAGTCGTAAACATCAATGAGAAGATTCAAGTAAAACAATATCAAGAAAATGATTAGTATAATAATGAAGGAATAA